AAATCGAATTTCGCTTAATGACCTTGCACACTTACCTGTAGGTGCGATGCAGTGTCGAGCCGTAAAATACGTATGAATCTAATCCGATGCCTGCTACGCTAGAGACTGGCAACCCATGCTGCAACTCTCCCTTTAATAACCCGCCTCGGCGACGAGCCGCGTACACGTGATCAGTGACAGCTACGTATAGATTCGCTGCCCGTGTAGATGGTTCAGCACGACGTGTGTGTGTCGTGTGTGTGTGTTGCTGCTGTGTGTGTGCGTGTGTTGTGCGTGTGTGTGTGTGTGTGTTGTGGCGTGCTGCGTGTGCGCTAAAGTACGGCCCTGGAAGAGGTGATCACATTTCGTAATTCATTGTGCGTACAAAATTAACAAATATTGACTACCGATTCGTGTCGCTGACCGTTGTTCAGCGTGTGGAAAGCTTATTTTTTCTCAGCTTCTCATCGCGGTGGCGTATGCATATTGCGCACGAAAGTTACACGCGAGACGTGAAAATTCGAAACAAGTCGCCTACACGCGTTAACGACCGATATTCCTTCCGGCGATAGTTGGGACGATATTATATATATATATACTATATCATATATTATATGTACTTCTATATCGTCTGCTTCGTAACTAGGTCAGTTACGTAACGCTGCAGCCGCAATAGGATGCAGTCTTAGTAGAAGTTTCGCGAATGAAACAGACGAGGCATTTAGTACAAGCGAATGAACAGCGGTCGATTAAACGAACCTGATTGTTATCCACGACAAAACTGCTTCAACAAAATTCGGCGCGCTGTACCGATACGCGCGCGATATCATTAATCGAATACTGAATTAGCATAATATATATATATATTATATGCGTGCGTGTGCTGTGTTCTCGTGCGTGAGTTGTATGTGGGTGTGTGCGTGGTATCTTCTCTCTCCTCGTCCTCTAGTTATCTCTCTCTCTCTCTCTCTCTCTCTCTCTCTCTCTCTCTCTTTGTGTGTGTGTGTATTGTATGTGGTTGGTGTGTGTGTGTGTGTGTGTGTGTGTGTGTGTGTGTGCGTGTGTGTGTGCGTGTGTGTGGTGTGTGCTGTGTGCGTGTGTGTGTGTGTGTGTGTGTGTGTGTGTGTTGTGTGTGTGTGCGCGTGCGTGTGTGTGTGTGTGTGGGTGTGTGTGTGTGTGTGTGTGCTATGTGTGTGCGTGTTGTGGTGTGTGTGTGTGATTTGGGTGTGTGTGTAGGCGTGTGTGTGGGTGTGTCTCACGGTGGGGAGTTATTTTTCTCCGCTTCTAATCCCGGTGCGTATGCATATGCGCACGAAATTACGGAAACAGTCGCTACCACCGTTACAAGACGATTCTTCCGCGATTAGTTGGAGACGATATATTATATTATACTAAAGTTATATATATAATGATATAAACCTAAGTATAGTACTTCTAATATCGTCTGCCTTTCGTAACTAGGTCATTAGACGTCAACGGATCAGCCATGCAGGATAGCTTAGTAGACAGTCCGGCGAATAGAAACCACGACGAGGCATTTAGTACATCAGAGCTGAACAGCGTGCGAGATTCAAACGAACCTGATTGTTGATCCACAACAAATACTCTTCAACTAAAATTGGGGGCGTGCGTCAGCCATACGCGGCGGATATATTGATCGAAGTTAATGAATTTAACCATAATATAATACTATAATATTAATATGCGTGCATGTGTGTGTGTGTTGTGCGTGTGTAATGTGTGTGTGTGACGTGTATCTCTCTCTCTTCATCTCTCTCTCCGCGCCGCGGAGCTCTTCTCTTCTCTCATCTCTCTCTCTCGTCTCTCTCATGTCTTCGGTCGCCTCTCTCTTCTCTCTCTCTCTCTCTCTCCTCTGTCTCCTCTCTCTCTCATGTGTATGTATGTGTGTGTGTGTGTGTGTGTGTGCAGTGCGCGCGCAGTGT